CTATTGTATTTGGACTTTTTTGGTCTTTTTTTGTTAAAAGTCTTATGAGAAGATATGTTGTAACAAATTTGCAGAAGGTGATTGAGCATTGATAATATTGCCTTTTTAAATTTGATTCTAAATTCAATATTTTAATGTTTGTGAAGCCGTGCTTCGATTTTGATGTCATCTGAATGGATGACTAATACATATTGCTTGCAAATAAATGAAAATAAATGAAAGTTGAAGGAATGTTCTTAGCAAATTCGGAAATTAAATCCTGTTCTTTGTTAGCTTCCTTGTGTTATGATTTTTATGTGAATTGCTGCTAAAACAACTTTTTTATGTGAGTTTCTTTTGTAATTCAATTCATATATCTACCTTTTCTGGTCATTGTTTTGGCATCAACCTGTATTGTATCAACAATATTAACTTTTTTGTTCCACTTCCAGGTGGAAGAGAATAAAGTAGAGAGTATAAAAAAGGACAAGACAACTATAGAGAATTTGCTGCAAGAAACAATAGAAAAACACCAAGCAGAGCTTTCAGCCCAGAAAGAGTATTATACGGATGCTTTATCTGCATCCAAGAAGGCTGAAGCATTAGCACAGGCACGTGCTGATAATGAGGCCTGAACTGAATTAGAGAGTCATCTAAGAGAGGCAGAGGAACGCGAGACTATGCTGGTTAAGGCACTTGAAGAATTAAGACAAACTTTGAGTAGAAAGGAGCAGGAGGTTATACACAATTGTATTAAGATTGTTGATTTGTGGCTATTGATATGCTTGAAATGACTCTCTAGCATAAGTTCTTAATTGACTTTTGGTTTTGTAGGCTGTTTTTAGAGAGGACATGCTATGCAGGGACATTGAAGATCTTCAAAAACATTATCACGTGTGTTGAACTTTATCTTACCTTGCTGTAAAGTTACTTTTGCTTTAGCATTATTCTCTATTTGCTTCTAGTTGTGATGTGTAGTTTTGTGTGTTCTCTAGGCAAGTGAACGTCGATGTGAGGAACTGATTACTCAAGTTCCTGATTCTACAAGGCCTCTCCTAAGACAGATTGAAGCCATGCAGGTGGATTTATAATTTTCATCCATCTTTAGGTAACATTTGGTGACTATCTTGGGACAGAAAAGGTAAAGGCAGTAGGGACAGAGCGACATGTCCCCTTTTATCTCTTGTTTTGAAAGCATAAATTCACTCCAAAACTATCAGATATTTATTTTTATGTCTCCGTCTCTCCAACACATGTTTCTATTCCCACAATCATTGTCTCTTCTGTTCCTGAATGGTAACTGAACCCTACCTTAGAGTTACCATGTGTGTCCTTATGAACCTCAAGTTCCAAGCTATTTTGTCTGTAACTCTTTGTCACTTGGTATTAGGAAACAATAGCTAGAAGGGCTGAGGCCTGGGCTGCTGTGGAGAGATCTCTAAATTCTCGACTCCAGGTGCCTGAATCTTATTTCTTGTTATGATATAACACATGAAACTTGTAAAGACATCTCTATTTATTATTAGCTGTTACACTTTTAGGAAGCAGAGGCCAAAGCTGCTATTGCTGAGGAAAGAGAGCAATCTGTGAATAAACGCTTATCTCAAACATCATCTGGAATTAATGTTCTTGAAGCGCAGGTTCATCATCTTTCTATGAACAAATTTTTGTTAGTGATGGAACTATTTGATGAATTGTAGCTGAAATTGGTTATGCTCAGATTTCTTGTCTCAGGACTGAACAAACACAGTTAAGTAGGTCCCTCGAAAAGGAGAGACAGAGCAGCTGAAAATAGGCAGGAATACCTTGCAGCCAAGAAGGAAGCTGACACTCAAGAAGGTCATGCCCATCAACTTGAAGCACAAATTAAGGAACTGAGGCAGAAAAACAAGGAAGAGTTACAAGATGCATTAACACACAGAGAACTTCTACAACGGGTTGGATGTGTTTTTATTCTGGATTTCCCTTTCTTTTTCAGCTTTTCTTCTATTGCCAACCACATTATAAGCACAATTCAGTCTTGACAATACTAGAAGTGAATGCTCAACTTTACTTGTCTAAATAAATGAACCCATGGATAGGGCATTTATTGATGTTTTGTCTGTGGAGCTGAAGTACCCGCTCAGTTATTGAATTTTCCCTGCAAGAACCTGATATTTTTGAATCTTTTAGGAAGATGATCTAGACATAATAGAAGCTGATTTGAAGTTTATTAATTTAGTCCACGTTAGGAATTCATATGAAGCTGGATGGTTATGTAGAGGATAATTTCATTATTGTTTTGGAGATTTCTCTGAAAGACTAGAACAAAAGCTATCTTCCTACTTTATCATATGCACATAAGGTGTAACGCTGTCTGGAAGATTCGTGATTTAAGCTCATGATTTGTTTCAGGAAATTGAAAGAGAGAAAGCTGCTCGGTTGGAGTTGGAAAGGACAGCTCACGTCCATTAAACTTCTGCATCTGATCAAACTCCTATTGCAAGGAGCAACTCTGCTTTACTTTGGAAATTGACACCAGTTAACTTCTAATTGCTTTCATATATTTTTTACATTTTGCAAATTTTGCAGGAGATTTAACCCGAAAGCTCTCCACTGCTAGCAGCCTGGGCAGCATGGAAGAGAGCTATTATCTGCAAGCATCTCTGGACACATCTGACAGTCTTTCTGAATGGAGAACTTTTGGAGAGGCAACCATGAATCCTTACTACATGAAGAGCATGACACCTAGTGCTTTTGAATCTGCCCTTCTTCAGAAAGAGGGTGAACTTGCATCATATATGTCTCGTTTGGTATGTATTGCTTTTTTATTGAACTTCATGCTTAAAGTATTGCTTGTTATCACATATCTTCATGCTGTATGCTGCACTCTGGTGCTGAGTTTTCACAGTGTATCCTGTGTGGATATGTTGCATTTGGACAATCATCTGGGTTTATGCTTAAAATTCATTCTATTTCATCCATGTGCAGCTCTGATCAATTATTTGCATTTTTTGTATGGTCCAGGCATCCATGGAATCTGTCCGTGATTCTCTTGCAGAAGAGTTGGTCAAAATGACATCACAAGTGAGTTTCTACATGTTCTTTAGTGAGTCACATTTACAGAATAGGTAATTACCTATATATTATTGTTCTACTTTATTTTCCCATGTCATTGAGTTCAGCAAATGTTTTGATCCGCTGCAGTGTGAGAAATTACGGGCGGAGTCTGCTCTTTTGCCTGGTGTACTGGCAGAACTAGATGGACTGAGGCGAAGGCACTCTGCTGCCCTGGAGTGGATGGGTGAACGTGATGAGGATGTATGCAAGGAATAAGTTCTGATTTTCTGTTGATGTTCTTGAGATCTTATTGCATAATTGAAATGTGCTAAACCTCTTAAATTGTTCAAGCAAGTTCCCAGAATCCTTGAAGGAATTTTATTTTTGATTGGCTTATAAAAGAAATGCATTTGTCTGTGGAATTAAGTTTGCCTCAAAATATGATCGATGATTTTTACTCCACTCCATGGTGTGCTCATTGTTTAAATAAAAAGTGGACACTTGTAGAAATTTGTCCACCGGAGTGCTGTAGATTTTTGTTTCTTGTTCCACTTCCTTTCTTTTAAACTGCCCTTTATCAAATATGCATGTACTAAATCAAATGGAGTTATAGGAAAAATAAGTGAAGCAGAGCCTCCAGCATAAACTTTGTCCAATACAAATGGGAAGACTAACACTCAAGACTGATTTTTTTGTTTTTTCATGTAATCGTGCTGGAGGATTCTGTGCCAGATTTTTGAATATGTTTGACCACTTGCTATGCAAATGCTGAGAGAATATATTGATAACAAATATACTTGAGTAGCATACATCTGTCTATCTATCGTGATTTCCATTGTGATCATGGAAGTAGGATTTCTTAATGCCCTTTCCCTTATTCGAGTGGAATGTGTGTTATTTATTGTATCCTGAATAGTCGAGTGGAATGTGTGTTATTTATTGTATCCTGACGTCTTTAGTGGCTTCATATTTCTAGTTGGAGGAACTTCGTGCAGATATTGTAGACTTGAAAGAAATGTACAGAGAGCAAGTAAATTTGCTTGTCAACAAGGTATTTTATTTCAATCTTCTTTTCCCCAAACATTTTCATACCATTCTAAAAAAATGTGGTGATTTTTTACTCTCTGTTTCATTTTTTTTTACCTGAATTCGCTCTCACTAGTTGTTTCTGTGCTTATGCTTGCAATCTGTTGACAGATCCAAATATCAATTACATCCTCTGGCAATGCCTGATAAGTTGACACTACAGAATGTGTTACTTACCATTTACATAGAAACTCGTGGTATAGTTGTCGGGGATGTGATTTATCGTTCGTTCGAACTTTTTTTTTTTTTTTTGTCTTTCTCCCTCTATCCTTGCGATTGGGGGCAAGCGGCGATATATTCAGAGGAGATCCTTTTTCATGAAACCTAGAACTATATTGTAATTGAGATGAATTTGTTGTATAGCAGAAACCCGAAGGTGACAAATTTATTTCTCCAGCTTGAAGATGATATAAATTTTTGGATTTATTTAGCGATGATTAAAGTTCTTCGTTACAGTCTTCACCTTTCACTTTCACTTACGAAGCTAACAAGGTTAATGATGAGATCAATCACAGAAAACCTCGGAGGTTATAACTGTTAAAAAACACTTGAACTCTGAAGGTTCTTTTGCGGGCAAATCTTTATGATCTGTGCAAGCGTGAGTTTCTTGCTTCTTCCATATACATTTATTGAACATTGAATTCAAAACTGAGAAATACAAAGTAACAGTATTTAAGATATACTCGAGCATTCCAAATTAGTCATGCCCCCAAAAGAACTGAGAAACAGCAGCTGCTACAATCTGAGCATATACTGTTTCTCAAGAAATTCCGAATCGGTTTGTGCCCTTCAAAGGAATTCTAAAACATCATTCTTCGTGTATAAACCCTAATCATTCTCAAAAAAAGAAAAAAGAAAAAAGAAAAACCTAATCAATTAGTTAGGAGACTTCAAACCTACAGAGTGGACAGAATTTGCTCTTCTCCAACCATCTGCGTATGCACCCGCAATGATAGACATGTGAGCAAGGCAATCGAGTTGCTTCACAGCCAACCAAAAGTTGGTCGAAACAAACTGCGCATGGCTGGTTAGTAGACCCTTCTAATTCAACCTTCACAATCTCCAATTTCTCTATAGACGACGCAGTGGCGGGCTCAAAGCTTAAGACATCATCATCATCATCTTCCTCGTCACCGCCGCCGCCCGAAGGCTCATCAAAACTTGGTGGGACATCAACTCTCACCTTCATATACAAAACCCTCCGATCCAATAGCAGAATACTTCTTGCCATTTGACGAGCACAAGTCAACACCTGATCTATCATGAAATCCCTAACAGGGATATCCATAACAGCAAGGATATTACGGATGGTTAGTGTTGATGTTTCTAGGTCATGCAATAACTGGTCACGATCAACCAGGAAATCTCTCTTCACCCAATAGCAGTCCGCATCGTAGAGATGCTGTGATTCATCATCTTCAAGATCGTCAACAAGTACAGGAGGCATGAAACTTGCTTCAACCACAATGCAGAACTTATCACACAACACAGAATCATCTCCTGGTTTAACTAAATCCAGTGGAATAGTAGTAAAACATAAGTCACCAAAGTCTGACATTAGCCCTAGCTTATTAGCTTGGATCAGAAACGACTGCAGAGAGTAAATTTTCTCTACCGATCAGTCATGCGATAGGAAAGGGAAGCTACCATGCATATATATACACAATCGTTAAACCTATGTTTGCTCGGAATCCTTAAGCAACAAGAAACCTTTCGATGTCGTGTTACGATGTGGTCGTTACCGCATTTATGGGAAGTGATTTACTTGAATTATGTAGCATTTTTCTTATTGGTTTAAGAGCATGTTTGAATTTATGTAGATATTGTTTTTTAAAGTAATTTTACTTGTAAATATATTAATATATTTCTTAAAAATTCTAATTTTAATATGAATATAGAAATATAAAAAAAATTAATTTGAAACTAAATTTAATTTTTTTTCAAAAATATTCACGCTCTTATTCTTTTTATAATTTGTAAAATGAATTAAAAAATTTCTTGTTTTGCATATTCAACTGTATTGATATTTGGGTGGATTTGCCACGAGGTTTAGCTTTTGTTATTAATATTCTATAATTTGCCAGCTCCTATTTTCTTTGAATTATTATTATTATTTATAGCAAATGCTATCGTGTCAACAACACGTGAACAAGGACAGTTATCATCTCGTGAATACGGCCACACCAGATCCTGCTCCCCACCAACATTCAACGGCCAGGTGTCGTCTTTCTCGATTTGCTTGCACTCTTTTAAGAAAATATCAGTGAGTGAGGGTGATGGAGCTCGAGTCTCAATGTCACCGCTATACTATGCATCCATCCCCATCACCCGCGCACATTAGCTATAGCCTACTCACTCTCGGTCAAAACTCTCATTTTCTAAGAAACGGTTGTTTCTCCTAAATCGGACATTCACCTTCTCTCTCTCCGTGAACAGAAGGCGCATTTAATTGTTGATCACAGCCGCCGGAAGGGTACTCTTCTCGAAATCCACTCCGTCTCCACGTCTAAATATAAATATTTAGCCAGCCAACATTTCTTTTTAATCACAAACACCCTCTCTCAAACTCTGTTTCTCTTCGCCAGAAGTTGCTGCGATTTTTATTTATTTATTTATTTATTATTACTACGACTGCTGCTGCTACTTTTCTTCTCCGATTACCAAAGGAGATGGCGAGTTTTTTCCATGGGCGTTGGTTTCTTAGACTTGCATTTACAAGGAATGAGATCTAAAACGAGATCCTATTATTATTATTATTATTTCTTTGGATTTATTTTAACTTGTGATAATATTTTGTTTAAAGAATAGAATCTTGATTAATATATAGAGTTAGAGAGGATGATTGATACGATACTGTATTAAAATAAAATAAAAAGGGCTGATCTGGATTTGCAGGTGGTAGACAAAGTAAATCTTGCAATGAGAGGGCGTTATGTGGAGACGGTGGTGACCAAGAAACGGGCTTCGTCCAGGGATTTTATTAATGCCTATGATAGAGAAGAAAGTTCTGGTATTTTGACTTCAATCATTTCTTTCTTTCTATATATATATATTTATAGTGGTCTAATAAGAAAGAATATATCATACTGGTGACTGCAGATGCTATGTGAATAGTCTTATTTAGAATAAAAAAATGCACAAGCTGCTCTATTTCACCTTATATATATATGTATCTGTATGTGTGTATGTATATATATGTATCTGTATGTGTGTATGTAGAGAGAGAGAGAGAGAGAGAGCCGAGGCATGGATTTTTGTATTCAAATCACATAGTTTGAAATGATTTGACTACTCATGCTTTTAGTTTCACCCCTTTTTTCATGATAAATTTACCTTTATTGAGCTAGTTGATGATCTAGGAGCCCAAAAACCGTTTCCTTTAGCTAGTTATTTGTTAGAAGCTACAAGCACAACATATGTGGTTGCAAGGATGCTTGTTACGCAATAAAGTTTATGAATTTTGACGACTAATGTCGTTGCATTTTTGTTAATTATTATTCATTTTTGACACACACACACACACATAAAGTTTCCGAAGTTGTGGATGATAAATGTAGTGGCTGATATCTGCTATTGGCTGCAGGACATTTAGCGATTGGAACAGCCAAAGATGCTGGAAACCCTCACTGGAGGCATTCTTTGGTGCATGTACTTGTAGCAACTCTTTCTTCATTCTTATTCGGCTATCATCTTGGGTGTGCCCCTCTAACTCTATTCACTTTTGCTCTTCTGCTCAAGTTTAATGATTTTGGATACATTATTTACTAATATTTTTGTATTATTAATTCAGAGTTGTTAATGAAACACTAGAAAGCATCTCTTTTGACCTTGGCTTTAGTGGGAATACCATGGCTGAAGGTACTTCATGCAACAAACTGTTTATTTTGTTTCATCTTCCCTTAGTGGAAAAAAGAAAAAAAAATGTTCTAATGGATTCTTTTCATTTGAAGGTCTGGTGGTAAGTACATGCCTAGGGGGTGCATTTGTTGGATCTATATTCAGTGGCTGGATAGCGGATGGTGTTGGGCGTCGCAGGGCGTTCCAGCTTTGTGCTTTACCAATGATAATTGGGGCTTCAATGAGGTATGCATAGGGGCCTTGTATTTGTTTCAGGCATATTTTCCCAAATTCTTATTATGTCTAAAACTCTTTCCAATGAGGCTATTTAAAAAAAAATAAAAAATAAAAATTGCAGTGCAACAACAAAAGATCTGTGGGGTATGCTTCTAGGGAGGTTTTTTGTTGGAACTGGGATGGGAATTGGCCCAGCTGTTGCGGCTCTCTATGTGACAGAGGTACAGCTGTATAAGAAATGATAATTTTGATATATACATTGCTAGCAAACTTCTCAGGATCCTACTTTTGTTTGCTTTTCATTCATTCATTGATTGAATAACATATATCACTCTAATGAATAGGTTTCACCAGCTTATGTAAGGGGTACTTATGGGAGTTTGACCCAAATTTCAACATGTCTTGGACTTTTGGGATCTTTCTTTATTGGAATTCCAGCCAAGGAAACTATGGGTTGGTAAGAAAACTTGAAAGGAGGTTGAAGATTACTGTTCACTGCAAAAATTCTTCAATATGTCTCAGCCATTCAAGTACATTGCTTGTGATAGCATTAACACAAATTAGTTGTCTTATTAACTTGTTGGTCTGCTCAGGTGGCGCGTTTGTTTTTGGGTGTCTGCCATCCCTGCTGCAATGCTTGCTCTTTTTATGGAGTTTTGTGCTGAGAGTCCTCACTGGCTTTTAAAGGTCACCTGATCTTCAGTTTTATGCATATCAAACAATTCAATTTTTTTTTTCTTGTGCTTGCATTGGTCGAGCTTAGTTCCACCCTTCCGATGTTTGCACCCAAGTCGGGAGAAATATGCCTATATGTGACCATGCATGCACACATGATTATCTAACACAACATTTTTTTTGTTCAATAAAAGTACCCATATTGCCAATCCCTACAAGTTTGGATTAAGGCTTTGTTGTAGTTAGCTTGTTAAGAGCTATTTAATGAAAAAATCATCATTGAAATTCATCTGACATCTATGAATAGATGTGGGTTACAGGTTACAATTGATGATTAGATCTTCATAATCTACTAATAATTTTAGATTTCATAAAGATGCATATGATTTGATTTTATTTGGGAAGATAGAGCGTGTTAATTACCTAATATAATGTGAAGAAATGCGCAAAGATAATAATGGGCAATACTCTAATAGTTGAACATTTTTGAACAAGTGGTCCTTTAGCATGTGATCTTAGAGCTAGGCTGCATCTCACAATCTAGGAAGCTCCTTTGAATTTTATTGGATATTAAATGGTGGAAAGTAGTATGCTGACTCTTGTCCTTTTCTTTCCTTTGCAATGTTACTTCCTCTTTTTGTAGTTTTGACTCATTACTCCTAACAGAAATTTTGATGATAAAACTTCAAAGAGAAAATTTTCCCTCTAAAAAGTTTTAAGTTTTAAAAATTGGTTGTTTAAAATTATTGCTTTAGGATCAAATTGTATTGAAATCAAATTCAGTTTTCCCCTTCTCTCATTATTTTCATGCAAGTAACTGGATCCTTCTTCCATGTTGTATGAACAAGCCATCATAATATTTTGAAGAGTACAATTTTGATGCAACAATACTTTTGCTGGGGCAGTCTAGAAGTAAATTACAATTGACACTGGCGTTTTTTCTCTGCAACTCTCAACTTTTGTTCTGTTAATTGCTCAAAATATTAAAAAATATTTCATTCAAGCTTCTTTCTTCAAATAATTATTCAAGTGTTATCAATATTGTTCGAAAGTTGTTCTGAAGAACAAAAGGTTTAGTAAATGAACCAAAGTTCAGAGCTAGATAGAGGCTGTTATGTTTAGCTTTATGATGAGTACTCAGTGTGATCATGGTTCATTTAGCCATTGTATAGAATGTAATTTAGTAAGTAATGATAATAGATTTTCCTAAATTTACTTCAGAGGGGAAGAAGTACTGAAGCTGAAGCCCAATTTGAGAAACTCTTAGGAGGATCACATGTCAAATCTGCAATTATCGAATTGTCAAAGTCAAACCAGGGAGATGAAGTTGATAAAGTGAAGTTATCAGAGTTTCTCTATGGTCGCTATTTTAAAGGTGCATTTCTCTTTTAACTTGCAGTTATATTTTCACATTAGTTTTCTTTCAAATAATTACTATTGAATTCTCCATTTGCAGTGGTTTTCATTGGGTCTGCCCTTTTTGCCTTGCAACAGCTATCTGGAATAAATGCTGTATTCTATTTTTCATCAGCTGTCTTTAAAAGTGCTGGTGTACCTTCAGACTCTGCAAACATATGTGTTGGAGTTAGCAATTTACTGGGTAGAGAGGGCTTTTCTCCCAGGCATTCACTTGTGGATTATTGTTGGCTATCTCTTCCAAATTATGATTCTATTTTTAATATCTTCAGGGTCAATAATTGCGATGGTTATGATGGATAAACTGGGAAGAAAGGTGCTACTTACTGGAAGCTTCTTTGGCATGGTAAGAAAAAAAAATGTGGTGGGAAAACTGCTCTTTATTTTATTTTC